ATGCGTCTCGGCCCCCCGCGCCGCTCCTTGGGCTGCCGGGGGGGCGAGACGCCGCCGCGCTGCAGGAGTGGGGGCGCCCTGTGCTTCGAAATGCGGAAGCGCGCCACCTTCGCGCTGGGGCCTTTCCGCGCGGGCCCTACACGGGCCTCTCTCTCGCTCAGTCGCCCGCAGAGTGCGCCGAGCTCTTGGGCGCGACAGTGGAGCGCCGCTTGCTCGCCCCGTCGCCCGCCCAGGGGCGGCGGGGCAACATGGGGATCTTCTTCGCTTCCACAAAGAATGCGAAATTGAGAGTCATCCTCGACGCGCGGGCGGCGAATTGCTCGTTCACCGATGCCCCGAGAACCCAGTTGCCGTCGGCCCCAGCCCGGGGCCGCCTCGAGGCGGGCGACGTCCACCTCAGCATCGGCCCCGCCGACCTGGGCGTGGCTGTCCAACGCGTGCAGGCGCCTGCCAGGATGGGGGAGTTCTCTACCCTGCGGCCTATCCCCGTTGAGTTTTTGATGCCTCTCGGACGCGTGGAAGCCAGCGCGAGGGGTGACGACCTCTTGCCTCCGCAAGTGTCGGCGTTCCCTATGGGCTTCAGCTAGGCCCTGCACCTGTGCCAGCTGGCGCTGCAGGCCTATATGTCGGACTGGCCTCGCACCCGAGAACCCAATCCTCGACGGCCACGGCGGCTGCCAGCTCTTCGACGACCCCCCCGCGGTCGCGGGCGCTGGCTGCGTGGGCCCAGCACGCGCGAGCAAGCAGCTGCAGGCGGCCGCGGACGACCTCGAGTAACGCGGGCTGGCCGCCCACGAGTTCGAGGGGCCTTGCCAGGGCCGCGATTTCCCGCGGCTTTCGTTGCGAGAGGGGCGCTGGCCCAGTCTTCGGACGCGCGACATCTGGCGCCTTTGCGCTGCTGTGCAGGCTCCTTGTGCGAGTGCTCACCCGCCACGTCACTTAGGCCCTCCTGCCCAGGCGTAGGTCGCGGGCGGGCGACGTGCGCCTTCGCGCAGGCCACCGGGCCCACAGCGGCGCCCCCGTAGCCAGCGGCGCGGCGCGAGCTCCAGCTGATGCACGAACTGCTGCCTCTCTGCGCGGCCGCCCTGGGCGCGCCCGGGCGCGGGCGCGTCGCGCGTGCAGACGCCTCTCCGCGGGGGCTGGGCGTCGCTGCTCGCCGCGCCCCGACGGACCTCGCGGGCGCCGCCAGCCGCGTCCCTGAAAAATGGAGGGGGGAGTTGAAGCAAGGTCTCGCACGGCTGGAGCGCTAGAGGAGGCTGGCGTCATCGCCGCCGACATCGACCGCCCCCCATCGCATGAGAGCTGAACCTCGGTCTCGGGGGGGGGGTCGAGGTGCAGGGGGAGCCGGGTCGCTCAGCGCGCGATCTTCGGCCGCCCGTCGACTGCGAAGAGGTTCCCTCGCATTTTATTCGGGGGCGCGCCTGGGGCTCGGTCGCGGCAATTTCTGTCGAGGGGCATGCCGACGCCCTGGCCCTCGAGGAGGAGGCTCGCGTTCCCGGATATCGTCATCTACTACGGTCCACGTCGTCGCGCGGGCCTCGTTTCCTCGCCCCCTCCGACAACTGCCTCTCGCCCTGTCGGTCGGAGAGGGCTGGGCTCGCAGCGGGCAGCTCCAGGGCGCTCGTCGCAGGATCTGCGCCCTCTCCGTGGCCGCGGGCGCAACCTTATCTGTCAGATGGACCCCGTCGGAGGCGCGCCCCGCAGACGGCCGCAGTCAGGGGCGCGTCGGCTGGTTCCCGGGCCGCAGGCCAGCGCCTGTGCCGATCGGCGCGGGGTTGCTGGAGCACGCGGCGGCGCTGGCTGTCGGCGCCCCCCCTCCGGGCCGCGACGGCCGGGGGGAGGCGGGCGGCTCCGACGGCCTCGGCGCCGAGGGAAGCGAGGGCTCGCCTGGCGCATGAACTGACAGCTCCGCCAACGCCAGTCATGGGGCGTTCGCTGCTGGATCTGCTGTCGGCGCGGCCCTCGGTAAGGCGCTGGCGTCCTTCGCGGGCAAGGCGCCTCCTTGGCTGGACAGACCACCAGCCTCGATTCGGTCCTCGGGCAGCACAGGGGCAACGAGCTCCTCCTCGGCAGCAGCGGCGGTCGCCCACCTCCTCGGCTCGCTCCGCGTGCTTGCCACGGCGCAGTTGCCGACGGCGCACTGCGCGGCGGCGGCCCGGGCCCGCTGGACACCGGCCCGCGCGCGCCCCCCTCTTCGGCGCGTCGCGCCCGCCACCGCGGATGTATCACGGTTCGACGGGCATTGCCAGCTCGCCGCCTGCGTCCTCGTCATGTTCGCGTGCTACTCCAGGCTCTGCATACGGACTAGCCACAGTCGACGGATGTCATCTCCCAGCTGCCGCAGCTCTTCGACGGCGCCAGCCAGGAGTTGTCGCCGGCGCGCCTCCGCGCTCACCTCTACAGCCTGCACCGCGGCGGCGCCTCGGACGTCATAATTTAGTGTCGCGGCGGAGGGGGCTGCCTGCGCCTCGGCGTCGCGGGCGAGGGCGGCCCGCGATGGGCCTCGACCGCTGCGCCAGGGAGACGAAGCTGTTGGACGAGCTGGCGCGGGTCTTGCCGGCTGTCGCGGAGCTCGGAGCGCCCGTTGACGCCTGCCTGACAGCGCTCGTCGAGAGCTCGCTGGCGGCGAAAGCTCCTCGTCGCAAGGCGGCCACTTTGCGCTCAATTCTTTGGATCTTATCACGATTGCGCTCCCTCCACGGGCCGCTGGCGACAGGCCGCGCGACGGCCGCCGTCGCTGGCCTGCTCGGGGCGCCGGCATGCGCCCCCCAGCGCGGGCGCTCGGCAGGGCGCGCGGCCTGCAAGCGGCCGGCGACGGCGCCGATGCGGCAGCCAGCGGCGGGGGCGTCGACGCGGCGATTGGCGGGCCAGACGCCATCGGGCGACACCTGAGGCGGCAGCGCCAGCGCGCGACAGGCCCTGGGCGGCTGCCACGGCGGCGGCCCGCGCTGGAGCTCTTCTGCGGCGCTGGCGCGATAGCCTGTGCGATGGCGACGCTGGGCCGCGCCGCCCTCGGCCTGCCTCGACTGGGGCAGCAGCCCGCTGGAGGATCGCGCGGCGGCGACGTTCCAGACTGTCGTCATTGGCTGGATTGAGTCTCGAGCGGTGGGCGCCGTCTGGTCGGGCGCGCCGTGCGCGAGCTGGACTGGGGCGCCCCGGCGGCCGCTGAGGTGCGCGGCGGCGCCCCATCCGCTTGGGCCCCCAGACATGAATGCCTTTGAACAGGCCAGAGTGAATGAGGCAACGCAGCTTACCTTGTCGTGCTCAGAATAGTTCGTGCCTGCGTAGCCGTTCGGGTGCCAGTGTATTTCGGAAATCCACGGACGTCGCCCATTCGGCATGCCCCTGCCCTGGCTCGTCTGTGCAGCTCGCCTTTTTGTCGCAAGTCTGTGCTGCATCAATGTCAGCACGGCGCGCTGTGCAACGAAGGCCACCGCCACCTGTGCCTGAGGTACCATTCCTTTGTCGTCTCTTGAGAAACGCATTGTGCTTGAGGGAAACGATGGGCAAGGTCGAAAGCGCACTGCTTTCGCTGCCGAGCATCCTTCTCAGCGCGCCGCTGCTGCCTCTAAGTGCATTGCCCAGTCTCTGTCTCTGCGGCCCAGGCGAGTTCTCCAGTCGCTTGCCTTGCATATGGGTGAAAGTTAGTGCGGCCTTCAGCCAAAGTGACCTCTGGATCGGGCAACGGGCCGCTAGAAGGGGGTCTCTGCTGGAGAGGTCGCGTCCTCGTCTCATTTGCTGCTGCACGATTGCATCACATCCCCTGGCCCTTCATGTCCCATGAGAGCGATGGTCCTGACGGCGGCGCGAGCTGGGAGTTTTCGCAATTGAATGAATTGAATGCTGAACAGAGACGCGGATTCGGACGCACTACACTTGTGTGTGTGCGTGTGTGCGGGGGGGAGGGGGGTATTGGCTGTTCATGGCCGACCAACTCTTCGATATTTCTGTTAGCGCCCGATTGCGCACTTCTGTCTGGCAGCACCGGCGGTTTTGTCACCAGTTATACGTGCACATGCCAGCAGGGAAATATTGTCCTCGTTCGCCCTCCACTGCCACAGGGCATTCGGGTTTCAAATTTCAGTTGCGAAATGCGCTTTCCCAGGACCAGTCCATAGTTGCATATAGTTTCATAAACTCTCAACCGCATCATCGTTCGATCCTTTTTCAGTTCAGCGCTATGCCGTTGAAAGGGTCACACCTTTCGCGTTTTGGCACGGTGCGGGTGTTAGGCGTTCGTTTGTCAGGGTCGCCAGTTGCTCCGTAGTCTAGCAGGTCGTTCACGGCCTTACACTTGTGGCCTATCCGCTGCCGCAGTGTTCCATTCGTTGGAATTCCACGTCGGCACGTGACTCACCATGGCAGTTTGTCGCTGGGTCCGCAGTGTTCACGCACAACCACACCATCATTGCCCATGATCCGTGGCCTCGCTTTTGCTCCTCGCTTCTTTCTCGAGTCACACATCTTCGGCTGCACGCATCGGGAGGCAACCACAGGAGCATCGGGCTTTTCTCGTGCTGTCCTGGAGGAGGCAATGTCGCTTTCCGTGCCCGTGCCTCCGACCTTGCCGTCAGCCCATGCCCCCCGCCTCGACTCTCGCACTCGCCCATGCCCCTGGGGCTTGCCCTGCCCGCGCCCGTGCCCCTGCCCCTTCCCCCGCCCGTCGCACGTGCGCCTGCGCTGGCCTCGCCTTGGCCCTTGTCCTCTCCACTGCCGATGCCTCTGCCCATGCCCTTTACGTCTGCCCGTCTTGCCAGCCCCATCCCCTTTCCTACGCCAGTCACGCCCCCTTTTCCTTTTCCTCCTGCTTCTCCTCCTCCTCCTCCTCCTCCTCCTCCTCCTCCTCCTCCTCTTTTATTTCCTCCTCCCTCATCCATCCTGCCTTCTCCGTCCTGCCCTCTTCCACCCCTCCCTCCTCCCCCCACTCCCCTGCAACTGCATATCCTCCTTCTTTCCTGGTTCACTCCTCACTTCTCCTTGTTCGGTATCTCTCCTCGCAGGTGCCAGACGGCTTCCAACCAGCCCGCCCCGATCCCGACGCTGAGGCAGCGGAGGCAGCCGCCGCGGCAGCGGAGAAGGACTGGCCGACTTAGATGTCTTGGGCCAGGCTGCGGCTATGGAGGCCCAAGTGGAGGGACCCTCGAACGCAATTGTGTGTCATCGATTGCGCGTTGGAAAAGGAGTTGGGCCATTGGGGCCCGAACCGCCCCACACGGCACCAGGAGGCACGAGTTGTGGCCCGAAGCTGGCCCTTTTCAGTCTGCCACACATTCGGGCACCAGGGTGCCTCATGGAGACCAGCGCTGCATGGGCGCAGACCGAAGCATTGGGGATGCCGAGATCGGCGATCTGGGGGAACGCGCCGATTTCAGGCAGACTTGGGATTCCGTCAGGGACCTTACACGCATTCGCCTCCCCGAGCGCCGCTGACATCGAACATTCATTATCCCGCAGACAGGCATAAGTCCAACCCCCCACCAGTCCTCCCCCCCTCACCCACACCGTACGAAGAGGGATTGGGTTGGGGAAGGGAGGAGGATTCGATTGCCGGTCGTAACGGAGATGTCTGACCCCCGCTTTTTCCTCGCACCCCACGGGTACAAGGGAAGGGGAAGGGGATTGGTCTGGCAGTACGGCCCCAGTCGTGCGACGCCGCCCGCCCCTCGGGGCGGCCTACGTAGACCTTTAATCAGAGCGGAGAAGGTCTACCGATACCGATCCCCTTCCTTTCTCTCGTTTTCGCCTCTTTGGTCCCCCCCAGGGAGGCCCTTGTCCCCACGGCTGGGCCCGCTTCGAGGTCGGAGAGGTCCGGGGATTTGTGCTACTGTTTCTTTTGGTCATCCCTATGTCATATTCCATAGCTCGTGCTCTGCAGCCGCTGCTTCAGCCCCTGGGTGTGGCCGTGACGCCGCCCCCGCTCCCACTGCTGGTGCAGCGCTGGCTGGCCGCCCTGGCCGCTCCGCGGTGACGTACCTCGCCATGCGAGAGCTCTCCCTTCCTCCCTCCTGTTCCGCGGCCGCTTTCGCCTGTCTCCCTTCCTTCCCGCCGCTGGATAATTTGCGAAGCCCGTTTCCCGGACTGCCTGAGCGCGCGTGCGGAGTGCCACCTGCCACGCTGCGAAGTCAAAGCTGTCAGATAATCTTTGGGGCTCGCTGTGCCTGCTTCCAGGGATTTTCGGGAGCTGTCTGCGTCCCCGACGGCCTCCAGAGGCTGCCTGGGAGCCTACGGCGGCCTCTGTCGTAGCGGTACCGCTGATATCGTTATGGATGGAGACAGTTAGCTGCTTGCGTAGCTACTGGTCAAAGCGCCTGAGCCCAAATATTTACAACGTGTTTGCTGCTGACCATGCTGCTCACATAATTGAGATGTCACATTGCTCCAAATGTACGCTGTACATTTCTACTGATCTGAGCGCTGTTTAAATCATCGGAGAAATCGGCACGTCGCTGACGGCTTACCTGCCACACACGCGGGCCCAGGGATCCTAAAGGAGTTGTTGGCTTGCTAAGGTAGCTCACAGTTCTAAGCAAAAGAGCATAAAAAAAGACTCGTTAGCGTAAACTCGATCGTGAATTCATGGAGGTAGGCCGAGGGCGAGGTAGAGGAATGCTTTCGCACACTGCCAAGGGTGGCAGCCGTCACGCAGGCGCCCCACCAGGGGCTCGCAGGCCTCGAACGCCTAGAACGCAGAATTCGGAGTGCACCTCGGGCTCGACAGAGAGGAGCTCGAAGAGGTGCCCGTAGTCGGTGGAGCACAGCACTCTCTCGAAGTGCTCACACGGTAATCGGGCAGTCCGCAGAACACGTCGCTCTCGTGGTGATGGACTGGACTGTGCCTCTGGGGCCCTGGAGCCAAGCAAACCCACGAACGCACGTCGTCTGGCCCATCGCCACCGCGTCTCTGACCTCGACTCTGGCCTGGGTCGAGCTGGTCCTGGGCTTCGGCTCGGTCCCGACCTGCAGCTGCCGCGGGGCCCTTCTGCGGCTCCAGCCAGCACCGCGGTCGGCCTCCGGGCCGCCGCGGTGCCAGCAGGCAGAAGACGGTCAGCACGATTCCGAAGGCCACTCCATGCAGGTATATCGCAGGCCTAAGAGGTTGACACCAACACCAAGATCGGCGGTGTGCCTCCACCGAGGGAAGACGATCCCGATCTCGGTGATGGTGGTAATATTCTGGCTTCCAAGGTGGCCGAAATATCGCCACCAACGCCGAAATCTGGGATCATCTTCCCCCTGTGGAGGCAACCCCCTGGGCTGGTGTTAGTGCCAATTTCCAGGCCTCCAAAGGTAGTTGAGCCAACCCATCGCGTACCCCTCGCGGCTGCACGACTGCACGATCGCCAGTTCGCGGTCGGCTTGGCTGCTGCTCTCTTTCCTGGTCGGCCGGAGCTCGAACCCAGCACCTCGTGTAGCTGCTGTTGCCATCGTCAGCAACCGGACGAGTTTCTTCGACTTCGGAGCTGGAGCCGCGAACTTAACGTCGCGTCCGGACATGGACGCCATCAGCATGCCTGCGTGCATCATCTTGGTGAGAGCGCCCGCGACCATCGTATGCGTGGGGATCCACCGCAGGATCGAAGCTGTTGGAGCGAAGGAATGTCTCTCTCAGCATGCTGACCACGATCCTCAGGCGTTTATCCTGGACAACTCCTGCGTCCTTTTCTACTGTCTCCTCCAAGTTTTTGCTGTCCGCGAAGGTCGTCATCTGGCGCTCCACGTCCTTCAGCTTTGGTGGACCTCTGAGTGTCGTCGCCATCTTCAGCTCTGTCAGCACCTGACGGTACCACTCGGCGTACTCGGAAGCGGACTGATGGCATAGGGCTCCGCACTGAGACTACTGCGCACCTCCCTCCAGACACTTCCTGAGCACCTGGTGAGCGGAATCAGCTTGCTGAACTTCCCTTGGGAAACCTCCTCGGGCTTGTGGGTCAAGCCCCCGACGAGCCCGCACTGCGACCGCTCGCCGTCGGCATTGGCGAAGGCGGAGTCCCCGTAGAACACCAGCTGCGCCAGTAGGACACGAACCCGACCTCGGACAAGCCGAACTCCCAGCGTCGGGCTCTGCTTAAGCTCGGTGACCAGCTGGTTGAGGTTGATGAGGTCCTGGACCTTCAGCTTGCTGACACGCTGTGCCGCCAAGTTACAGACCACATCTGGACGAGATCTCGCAGCAGCCCATTGCACCTCGCCGTTGGTCGTCCTCAAGCCGCTAACCTCCTCCGGCGTCGCCTCCGACTCGGGAGCCTTCATGCGGTGCGAGTCGATGGGAATGTGCTCGATCGCCTTGATAGCCTTCTCCTGGGTCGCATTGATGTAGCCAGGCGTCATCTGCACCCTCGTGCCCAGGTAGTCGACGCCACCGACCGTCCTGGCAAGGTGCAGGCGCTTCTCGAGCACCGGCATGCTCCTCCGAACTCAGGAGTTGTCGTGTCTTATCTCGCCACCCACCAAACCACCCTAACCCAACCCGAAGGCCTCAATTTGCCCTCCATTTCCAGTGGGGGGTGGTCCGGGAACGTCGAAGAAACACATGGAGCCCATACCCCCCCCACCCGAAATGAGGGTCTTCGGGTTGGGTTGGTGTGGTCTGGTAGGTAGTCATTATCTTCTTCTCGTCATGCACAACGTGATTCCGAGCTCGAGTGTATGATCAGATTAAACCAGTTTCCTGCAGCCATGTGTGGTAAGCGATGAGGTGACCAATGACGAAGACAATACGAAGTTGGACATACTCTATGATTTGAGCTTTTCTGGCTTCTATCTACTTTGTTCAAGACGATTCTCGGTCATCGCCCGCCCATTCCAGATCTCGCTGGACGAGGCGAAGATTGCTCCAAGACGGGATAAACATAGCCGAACGTAATTTGAAACCCAGAGACGAAGATGGCGCCAAGACGGGATGATGACATCCCGACAACGGTGATTGACTCCCGCACAGGTGTGTTTTGTATTTTGTCATGCGTTCAATTCCACCTCCATCCCATCGTCGGTAGGACTCAGGTATGTCGATTTGTCGTCGGCCCTGCTATCATTACCAACGGATCAGTGATATGGACGCTGGCCGTCTTGACCTTCGCTCTTTATCCACAGCAGGAGGCCAGAGATAGCCAGAACGCTGCCCAAGACCAGCCAAAGACGCCCCGCAAACGGCGCCAAAGATGCCAACAAGGGCCGAAGAGGGCCTGGACAAGGGCCCTAAAGGGGTCCAAGACGGGCCCGAGGCGGCCCAGGCGGGCTTCGGGACGACCCAAACGCGAGCATCCCCGCATTGGACCGTAGCCCCGTCCGTCTTCCGGTAAAAACCTGGCCGGTTCTGGGCCGTTTGGGGCATCGTTTTGGGGCTCAAGGTGGGCCCCAAATCATTTAAGATTGAGCCCAGAGCGTGCCCAAAAACGGCGTCGAAGTCAACTCTCTGAAAAATGCCCCAGGCGAGCCCGAAGTCAGCCAGAAGGGGCGTCCAGGCGACCCCTGCCGAGGCAAAAATGATGAAAACCTATTGGTTTGGGGTGTATTTTTCTGAGCCCAAGAGGCGTTCTTGAGCGCCCCAGGAGTCGATTGTAGAGGCCAAGAGGGGCCCCCGACGGGGTCAACATCGAGCCGAAATGCAGCCGAAAACCGTATTGGAAGCGGACTGAAGATCGAACTGGTCTTGGACGCCTTTTGGAAGCTTTCTTGGGGCCCGAAAAGGGGATCGAGTGCAGCCGGGCGACGGAAATTACGGAGGCCTCCGGGGGGGGGGATTAGGGGGGGGCTAAAGCTTTGGAAAGAGCCCTCGTAGTTAAGTCTCACACGGCCCTCAGCCCGGTGGGCGGGCGGATTGAATCGCTTCGCTCATTCCGCTGGCCCATGTTGCGCGCCGTTGTCGACTGACGGAGTGGACTTTCGCGGTGCGGAGCTGCAGGGGCGGCGGCTGTTTTTATCAGGCTTTGCGCTCGGCATGTGGGGGGTAAAGCAGCTCCTGTGGAGCAGCTTCGTGGCGATTCGTTTGGAGCATCTGGGGAGGTGTCGGGACGATCGTTGTTTGACACTTGGCTTGTACGTGGTTGCTGCTTTGTGGGGCTTCAGGTGGCTGGGTGGGGGTCGGATGGACCTCGATTTTGCAAGCATCTGCGGCAATCTTGGAGCCCGGGGAAGCGGAAAAGGTGAGAACGGCAAATTCGTTGAAAAACGCATCGGGAATTATGTTTTCTTCCTTGTGGGGGGCTCTCTCGGGAGGCTTCTTGGTGGCCGCTGGGGGAGTCTTGAACGCGTCGCGGGCCGTCCGGAAGCGTTTTGCCTATGGGGATTCTTTCGGGAGGCCTCTCGGTGGGGGCTCTTAAACGCGTCGGGTCGTTGGCACTTGCTTGCGTGTTCGGGGAAGGGGGCTCAGCCGCCCAAGAAGAAGGAGGCGGGAAGTCGAGGGGAGGGCTTCGCCCTGGTAGCCACTCGGTGGACAGGAACGGGGGCCGCGCGCGCGCGGGGTGCCAGTGCTGGAGTACTCCGAGACCGCGTCTCCCGAAACTCCCAGAGGAAGGAGAAGACGCCCTGGCAGCGGCCACCCGAGGCCCGCGAGATGCAACGGGGATCGCGCTGCATTGGGGGGCCAGGGTGCAGGCGCGCCCCCCACGAGTGGGAAGACCCTGCGTCGGGCCCGGACACAGCGGGCAGGTGGCACCAGTGCGCGGACTGGCTGGGATACCTTGCATTGCTGCCACCGCCACGCGGCCTGGGGTTCTCCTAGGAGGGGTGCAGGATGCCATCGGCCACGCCGCGCCCACCAAGCTGCTGACCTTGGAGCAGCTGGAAGCGGCGCGGTTCATCCGGGAGGGGGATAAGGCGGCATGCAGGATGGCCTTGGGCCGACTCCTGGGAACGCGGCCCCCCGAAGCGGGACTGGCGGGAGAAGGCGGCCCCACCCGCGCCCGGCGGGCCGCGGTCAGTTAGCCGCCGGAGGCGAGCGACGAGGAGGAAACCGGGGGCCCCCGCGACCCCACGCTCCTGCAGAGCTGGGTGCCAAAGTGGAAGGTGGGCCAGTGGGAGATATCGGAGGAGACCATCTTGGCATACAGGGCCCGACTTCGACCCCGCCGACGAGGAGGAGGGACCTCGCGGACGCCCCCATCAGGAGCGTTCGCTGGAAGGCGCCCTCCCGCTCGCTGCAGAACTGGCTGCGAACCCGGGCGCTCGCGGGGGGCCCCGGGCATGATGAGTGGCAGCAAGCCCAGTGGGTGCTCAAACGGGCGCAGGGCTCGGAGGAGCAGGACGGAGGGCTCCGCATGCTTGGTTAACCCTGGTCCTCCCCCCTCCTCCTCCCCCTCCTCCTCCTCTTCCTCCCCCTCCTCCTCCTCTTCCTCCCCCTCCTCCTCCTCCTCCTCCTCCCTCCTCCTCTCCCTCCTCCTCCTCTCCCTCCTCCTCCTCCTCCTCCTCCTCCTCCTCCTTCTGGGCCCGCAGCCGCCCGCAGTGGATGCCCACTGCGGACACGGGAGGGTGCGCCAAGGTGCCGATGGTGGCAGGGCGCCTGGGAAACCCAAGGGTTTCCCAGGCGCCCTGAGATCTGTCGTTGTTCGGCACGAGACCACTAAAATGAAATTTGAAAAGGAAAAAATATCCACGCGTCCCTTCATAGCCCTTGGCGAAGCCAAGACGCTGGGCTGAACCCGGGAGCCGCTTCCCGCCTCGCTCGCGCGCCCGCCCAGATGTTGGCGCGCGGCCAGTGCGCGCGTGGCGTGGCCCCGCCCGTGGAATGGCGCGGGCGCCCGGAGACCTCTCCCCGCGCGCCCTGCGGCTTCTGCCTTCCGCTTGAAAACTCGGGGGATGGTGGGTTTGGAGGCGGGCCCTTGCAGGCCATGTGGGCGGGGGCCCAAGATGGAGTCATCCCACTGGTCGCCAGCAAATGAAGGGTCGCCCCTCTCCCCTCCCCCTTGTAGAGAGTGGCCCAGTTGGCGGGACTTGTCCTTGTTATTGGGGCGCCCTCCCTTTAACAGTTTAATCCCGCCCCTGCTTCTCTCTTCCCCCGTTCGCTCCCCGCGTCGGAGCGTCTGCGTTTTTTTCCACTCGCCCACCCAGCTACCCTCGCCCCCTCAACGTGAGCGGGCGGGGTCCAAGATGGACTCATCCCAATGGTTGCCAGTAAAATGAAGGGTCGTCCCCTCTCCCTTCCCCTTGTAGAGAGTGGAGCATCTGGCGGGATTAGTGGTAAGGTCGCCGCTCGCTTCCCAGACTTGAGCCGAATTTCTTTTTTGTTTGCCACATGTGTAATCATGGTGGCTGTGGCCTCTTCAGCGGCCCAACGTATATTCTTATTGTGATGTGTGCCGACACCACCCGCCTTGGCCTAAGGTGCCCAGGCGTTCGGGCCCGCGACGGCCATAATAATCATGTTGCCGTGCCTCGCGCCTCCGAGCTGGTCCCCAAACGGTTTCAGACGGCCTTTCGCTTTACTGTTTTGTCGGCCCTTCGGGCCCTGTACCTTACGATGCGAGAACAGCTTCTATCCTTTGGAATCAGATTCTGGTGCGATTTGAGTGTGAGGCAAGGCGAGGTCCTCGCCTCCATCTCTCTCGGATCCGAATCACTTTGACCAGCGAGTCTAGTAGAAAGAGCCGTTCGCAGTGAAAAACAGGGGTAAGAAAATGGCGTTGTTGCACATGAATGAGTTAGCGGGGTTTTGGGCGTCGGTCTCATCGATCCACATCGTGTCCGCATGTAGTCATCCTGGCCCCCCTCCCTTCTCGAGCCACCTCGCCTCCATTGATCTCGGATCCGAGTCGCTGTGACCAGCAAGTGTAGAGTATGATAGAGATAACCGTTCCCCGCGAAACGCAAGGGTAAATCATTGATGTTGGCCTCTCCGGGCCTTCCTGGAGGACCTCTTCGAGGCGTCCTCGGCCGTTTTAGGGGCCTCTTCGGCGCTTTGGGGGGCGTCATGGGTAATCTTGGGCCATCTTGGTGGTCTTGGAGGCGTCTTGGGACAGTCTTGGACGCGATCTTGGCGCTGTCTTGGGCTTTCGTGGGGCCATCTGTGCCGTCTTGGAGGCACCTTGGCCGTCAAGGTGGCCATTTTGGGGCCATATTGGCCAGCAAGACCGACGAGACAAACACCTCGGCGCGCTGGGGCGTAGCCCCAGGAGCACTTTAGAAACAACCGCAAACCATTTAGCATGCCAGGCACCCCTGTGGCAAGCCAACAGGTGGCCGCGGATCCAGTGACGTTCGGCACATCCCGCAAGACTATCTTTCTCTCTCTCTCTCTCTGTCATGTGTCTGTTTTCTGGTATAGTTTGTTTGTTTCTCTCTCTCTCTCTCTCTCTTTTCTCTCTCTCTCTCTCGCTATCGCTCTCTCTCTCTCTCTCTGCTGGTGCCCCGTGGCATGATTTTTAGATGGTTCATACGGAAGCGTCTTCAGGCAGGAAGTTTTGTCTTGATTCGTATGCTTGGCGTGAGATGTCTTTTTGTTGACTCACCAGGACGACGCCATCCAGGAGCTCCCGACCACGATTGAGGACGTGGGCCGAAACACCCCACCGGGGATGAGCTCGTGCCCCACCTTCCGCCGCTAGCGAGGCTTGCTTCTTAGTTTTCTTCGCACCTACGGGGCAGCCACGCGAGTTGCAGGTGCCGCTCGGTTCTCGCTCTCTCTGCGGTGGCGTGCGTCCATCGGGGAGCTTGATATTGCTCTACGTCGGCTGCTCCTGCTCCTGTTTCAGCTGCTCCTCCTGGGTCTCCTGCTGCTCCTGCTCCTCCTGCTCCTGCTGCTGTTGCTCCTTCATCCCCCTTCCTTATGATCAGCTCGTCCTCGCCGCACCACACGACGTGCTGGTGGGCCGGGCCAGACAATTTGATTGAGAGGTCCTCACCGTTCATGCCTTTATCAGAGAATGGATGGATTCGGCTTGTGTTCGGGATTCGTTTTTTTGTTGTGTATGGGGCCAAGGGGGCCAGGCAGGCAGCGACGACGACGACGACGAGGGCGACGAGGACGAGCGGGAGGAGGAAGAAAATGACGACGAGGGGGCGGAGGGCCAGCACCCCATCCGCTCTATCGGCCCGAGCCAAGAGCAAGGGCAAGAAAGAAGCGCATCGGAGTCACATTGGAGCCATATTGGCACAATCTTGGGATCGCCAAATAGTTTTTGAAAAGCGGTCATCTTGGGGCAATCTCGAAGTCGTCTCGGGCTCATGGGGTCGTCCCGGAGCCCCCTAACATCGGGGTCACGCTGTAGCGCAGTCGGAGGACAGTGGGTTCGTCTTGGCGTTCTCTTTGGGCCGCAGGGCCGCTCTGGATCATAGGGGGGCCATTGCTTAGCACGGGTGGGCATCTTGGGGCGACAGGTGTAATGTTGTGATCCTTTTTGAAACCCTGTTGGGTCCGTCCATATTGGAATCGTCCTTCGGTTGCTGCCTCTCTCGTTGCTGTTGCTACAGATGTTGCCGTTGTTGCTGGCGTCGATGCTGCTGGTGCTGCCTGGGCTGCCCGTGGTGCTGGTGCTGGTGCTGTGTGAAATCTCGGGACCTCTTGGAGCCATCTTGGGGCCCTCGCGGGGCCCTCCTGGGCCTCTTGGGGCCTTGCGGGGGCCCTCTGACGGCCCTTAAGAAGCGCCCGAGAGGGCGAAGACTTCAACGCACACTTAGCACAAACCGCCTCCTTATTGGAGAGCGTCTTGTGTTAAATGTGTGTTCAAAATTTAGTCCTCTTGGAACCATATTGGGGCTGTCTTGGGGCAGTCCTGGGCACTCTTGGAGCCTTCTGAGGGCCCTAAGAGGACTCCAAGAGGGCTAAACATTACACGCGCATTTGAGCATTTGAGACAAACCGCCTCTTTCTTGGAGAGCGTATTGTGCCAAGTTTCCATTAAGTTCCAGGCCATCTTAGAAAGCCCCAGAAAGGTTCAAGAGAGACCCAAGAAGGTCCCAAGAGAGGGTTTGCTTCCTCGCGGGGGGATCATCATGTATCCGCTCTTTGTACAATTGCTCCCTATTGCGGGGCTCGGTTTGAGGTTCGGGGGGCCTTCAGGAGAATTCCAGCCTGGGGTATCCAAAGACTTCTCGTGAGCTTCGAGTGCGATTGCGCTGCTCCAAGAGGGCTCCGAGACGGTCCCAGAGCGCTCCAAGACGCTCACAAGGGCTTCAAGACGGCCAAAGAGACTCTGCAGACGCCCCCCGTGGAGCTCCAAGGGGACCCCCCTAGGGGCACCAAGAGGCCCAAACCACACTTGCTCAATTGTTTTAAAATGATGCTAGCGTTCTCGCTTTCTCGGAGCCCCAACGTTCCAAGAAGGCCCAAGAGGCCACCAGGATCGGCCCAAGACGGCCCAGGAGGCCCCCGAAGAGGGCCCCAAGACGACCCACGAGGGCACCAAGACGACCCATGAGGCCCACAATGCGGCCCAAGAGGCCTCCAGGACGGCCCCAAGAGGGGCCCCGAGAGGCCACCAGAACTCACGTTGTGAGATTTTGCCCATCAGGATCGCGTCTTGTGAAGCGGCGTGGGGGCATGCGGAGAGCCTTCGCAAGTAGACGCGGCGCCGGGGTCACCATGTATCCGAGCATTGTTGTCCGAATTCGTACATGTCTGAGGCGATCGACGAGCCTCTTGGGAGCCCTTTTGGGAACCTGCTGGGGGTTTCTTGGGGCCTGATAGGGGCCTCTTGAGCGCCCCGTGAAATGTGTTGATACCTCCTGGGGGCTTCTTGGGCGTCTTGGGGGGCCCTTCGGGGGCCTCTTGGGGGCCTGCTGGGGCCCCAAGAGGGCCCAGAGCAGACTGCAAGAGGATCCCGAAATGTCTTGGGGCCACCAAGAAATGGACCCGGAGACCTCTCGGGGCCCTCTTAGAGCTTTCTTGGGAGGCTCCAGGATGGCTGGGGAGCGTTCAAGGAGGCCCCAAGAGGGCCGCGAGAAAGCTCCAAGAGGGTTCCGGAAAGTCTCGGGGCCACCTAGAGATGCTGCAGCACCATCTCTGGGTGACCCGAAGACCTCGCGGGGCCCTCTTGGAGCTTTCTCGGGGGCTTCCAAGATGGCGGGGGGGAGGGCGGAAGAGGGGGAATGGACCTCCTGGAGATGCGGACGCGGAGGAGGGGTCGGTTTCTTCGGGCCTGATGGGGGCCTCTCGGGCGCCTCTTGAGGTCTGCTGGGGTTTTTTGGGGACCTCTCAGGGCCTCTTGGGGGTCCTGTGGAACCCTTGAGGCGTCTCTCAGGGTTTTCTTGGGACGCTCTCGGGGACCGAGAAGCGATATTGTCGTTGCTGCTGCTGCTGTTGCTGCTGCTGTTGTTGTAATTGATGTGCTTGTTTTTGTCGTAGTAGTAGTAGTAGTAGTAGTAGTAGTAGTAGTAGTAGTAGTAGTAGTAGCAGTAGTAGTAGTAGTAGCAGTAGTAGCAGTAGCAGTAGTAGTAGTAGTAGCAGTAGTAATAGTAGTAGTAGGAGTAGTAGTAGTAGTAGTAGTAGTAGTAGTAGGAGTAGTAGTAGTAGTAGTAGTAGTAGTAGTAGTCGTAGTAGTCGTAGTAGTAGTAGTAGTGTAGTAGTAGTAGTAGTAGTAGTCAGTAGTCGTAGTAGTAGTAGAGTAGTAGTAGTAGTAGTAGTAGTTTAGTCGTAGTAGTAGTAGTAGTAATAGTAGTCGTCGGTAGTAGTACGTCGGTAGCAGTAGTAGTAAGTACTACTACTACTAGTAGTAGTAGTAGTAGTAGTCGTCGTCGTCGTCGTAGTAGTAGTAGTCGTAGTAGTAGTAGGAGTAGTAGTAGTAGCAGTAGTAGTAGTCGTCTTAGTCGTAATCGTAGTCGTAGTCGTAGTCGTAGTCGTAGCCGTAGTCGTAGTCGTAGTCGTAAGTCGTAGTCGTAGCAGTAGTAGTAGTAGTAGTAGTAGTAGTAGTAGTAGTAGTAGTAGTAGTAGTAGTAGTAGTAGTAGTAGTAGTAGTAGTAGTAGTAGTAGTAGTAGTAGTAGTAGTAGTAGTAGTAGTAGTAGTAGTAGTAGTAGTAGTAGTAGTAGTAGTAGTAGTAGTAGTAGTAGTCGTAGTAGTAGTAGTAGTAGTAGTAGTAGTAGTAGTAGTAGTAGTAGTAGTAGTAGTAGTAGTAGTAGTAGTAGTAGTAGTAGTAGTAGTAGTAGTAGTAGTAGTAGTAGTAGTAGTAGTAGTAGTAGTAGTAGTAGTAGTAGTAGTAGTAGTAGTAGTAGTAGTAGTAGTAGTAGTAGTAGTAGTAGTAGTAGTAGTAGTAGTAGTAGTAGTAGTAGTAGTAGTAGTAGTAGTAGTAGTAGTAGTAGTAGTAGTAGTAGTAGTAGTAGTAGTAGTAGTAGTAGTAGTAGTAGTAGTAGTAGTAGTAGTAGTAGTAGTAGTAGTAGTAGTAGTAGTAGTAGTAGTAGTAGTAGTAGTAGTAGTAGTAGTAGTAGTAGTTATTATTAACATTAGTATTATTATTATTATTCTTATTTGTAGTAGTAGTAGTAGTAGTAGTAGTAGTAGTAGTAGTAGTAGTAGTAGTAGTAGTAGTAGTAGTAGGGCAATCCGGGGCCCATGTTTCGTTTTTGGAGGCCCTTGAGCCTTTCTATTCTTCCGGGTTCTGCGAGATTCTTTGGGATTATGCATGATTCCTGTGGATTATGCCGGAATATTGAGGCTACTGAGGGTGCCTCAGGATTCTGGATTCATTTGGATTCTTCGGGATTCCGCAGGGTCCATGGCTTACGACCCTTAGCCCAGGGCCTTGGGCCCATGGTTCGAGGCCCAGGGCCCAGGGCACAAAGCCCAGGGCCAAGAGCTCATGGCTCAGAGCTCAGGGCTCAGGGCTAAGGGTTCAAAACTCAGGGCCCGGGGCCCAGGGCTCAAGTCTGGGGTCAGGGCGCATGGCACAGGTCACGGGGCACAGAGCTCAGGGCACAGGTCTCAGGGCTCAGGGCGCAGGGCTCAGGGCCCAGGGCCCAGGGCCCAGGGCTCAGGGATCGCGGCGCCCAGGGCACAGGGATTCGGGGCGCAAGTCACAGGTCACGGGGCGCAGTTCTCAGGGGTCAGGGCGCAGGGCAGGGCCCAGGGCCCAGGGCCCAGAGCCCAGGGATCACGGCTCAGAGCTGAAGGCTCGGGGCGCAAGGCACGGAGCACGGGGCACAAGGTTCAGGGCTCAGGGCACAGGGCTGACGGCTCAGGGTCCAGGGGTTAGGGCCCAAGACACAGGGCTCAGGGCTCGGGGCTCACGGCCCCAGATTCCCGGGTGTCCTTTTGTTTGCTGGAGATGCCTTTGCATTCTTCAAGATGCCTTTGGGTTCCTTTGCGTTCCTTCGGGATCGTCTGATTCTTCTGGATTCCGGCACACCCCTCGCACGGTTCGCGGCCCCACAGGGAGCTCCACTAAAGCCCCAGTGGCAAGGTTTACGTGCGCCCCCGCGGCTAATTTCGGCACGCCCGTCACAAATTTCGTGGTCCCATAGGGCGGTCCATCGAAGGCCCCAGGGGCAGCATGTCGGCACGCCCCTCACACGGTTCGTGGCGCCATAGGGAGTTCCAGCACAGGCCACAGTGGCAGG